CCTCACCTAACAGTCACTCCAAGCAGAAATTTGAGGGGTACCCTTGTCTTGCTGCTCAGGCTGAACTCTAACCAAACTTTTTTGGTTTTGTTGATGGTTGTACTGGGGGTATAGTATACTTGGGGACTGAGCTATACCCCCAACCTTGTTTATTTTATATTTTGAGTCAGAGTCTCCTTAAATCACTAAATTGCTCAGGCTGGGTACAAACTTGTCATCTTTGTCTCAGCCTCCCAGAGCACTGGAACTACACGCGTGGATCACCATGCCCAGCTACACAGTTTTTTTTTTCTTTTTTGAGTCAGTGCTTTGCTCTGTAGTTTGGACTAGCTTTCGAACTCACTATATGGCCCACGATGGTCTCAAACTCACAGTGATCTTTCTGCCTCAGCCTCCCGAGTACTGGGATTCACTGTGCAGCTCCAAGACAGTTATTTTTTCTTTAAGATTTATTTGGTATAGAGTCTCACTACGCAGCTCAGACTCATAGTGATTCTCCTGTCTCAGCCTCCCCATTGCTGGGATTATAGGAATGTACCACTATGCTCTGTCTCGGTGGATCGTGGGGCTAGCACGGCATATGGTACCAGGGATCGAACCCAGGTCCTTGAGCTTGCCAGGCAGGCGCTTAGACCCAGAGCCATCTCCCCAGCCCCTCCAAGACAGTTTGTAAATCGGCTGCCTGGGCTCCTCAGCTCTCGCTGGCACCCCTGACATCCAGGTCCACTTCCTGGCGTCTGCAGTGGCCACAGTGGCTGGTCTGGAGCATGGATCTGATCTTAGCACCCACTTTCGCAAACCCCCTCATCTGCAAGCAGAGCGTGGGCTTTCCTCTGAGGTCCCCAAGACCCCACAGACTGACCCCACATCCCCCTTCAGTGTCCCCTCACTCCCTGACATTCCAGAAGCACCGGGCTTTCCTCTGTAGCTGCCCACTGGACCAGGCCCCATGGGGAGCCGACTGGGCCCCGCGTGCGCCTCCTCCTAGAACACCCTCAGCTTCCCCCCGACCCCGCATTGGCTCTTGCCCCCTGCCTCCAGCACCAGAAGGCAGGAGGTGCTACCTGTGGATCTCAGCGTACAGCGGGCGCTCAGTGCGTGCTCACTGACTAGGTGAAGATCCGGAGAAGGTAGCCACTGAGGGGATGAAGCCCTTTATTTAGATCTTCTTGCTGTGCAGTCCAGCCTTATGCTGAATGAACATTTCCTGCTCCTGCTCAGGAGAGTCAAATTGTATATGCGTATGTATCTGTGAAATCTGATCCTCTGCCCGAGAGCTTCCCCATAAATTAATCATGCCTGGCCATTTACACAAAACCTCTTCTCAGAGCGCCTTTGCATGGAGGGTAGGGCCCTTCTGCCTGACAGAACTGCGGGCGACCTCATGACTGACAGGCTCTCCAGGGACCCCACTCGGCCCTGGGACGCAGCCAGAAAGAAACTTTTTTTCCCTTTTTATCTTCTTTTTCCTCCTCACCCTAACCTCTCTCTATTTTTCTCTTTTTGTATTGCTGGAGGTCAAACCTAGAGCCTCACACATGCTAGGCAAGTACTCCCTCAAGCAACTCTGTTTAAGGATAATGACTGTCCAAGGAACCTGAGAGTCAGGGGCTTGTTCTCTTCTGCCGTCAGACCGCTGGCTCCCCACCCTCCCCGATGTAGGCCCAGAGGTGCTGTCAGACCCCTTGGCTCCAGCCCTCCAGACGGTGGGCCCGGAGGTGCCAAGCTGGGCTCTGTGGGAACCTCCTGAGCCTGGGGATGAGGGAGCCGCATGCCCAGCCCTCAGGCCGGTTGTCTGGTGCTCTCTCAGGCAGACAGCCACCCACATTGGCTGAGGCAAGAGGGGACTCAAATCGCAGGAAGTCGCCTAGGAGCTGGCAGCTCACTGGACTGATTCTGTCTTTCTCTCGGGACCACAGGGCTTTCTTTTTGAGCTTCTTATCTGCTCCTTTTCCACAGTCTATGGCCAGCTTTTGCAAGGCCTCTCCCGACCTCCAGCCTGAGTCAGCCTGACTCAGCCCCCATACTCCTCATTAGAGAAGCAGAAAGCCAAAGCCTCCTAGCACTTCTTGGCTCCACCCTGGGGATGAGTTGGTTTTCTTGGCGTAGGCTTTCAGCCTGGGACCAGTACCCAGGCCTGGAAGGAGGGATGGGGTCAGTAGGTGCAAAGTGGCAGCAGGGATGGGCAGAGCAGGGAGCGGGGGTTGCGTGGAGGCAGGAGCCAAGTCCAAGTTAGAGAGAACTCGTGGGAGATGTTGAAATGTAGTGGGTGTCCTGAGTAACTTACCAGTCTGGGTTCCCTTTGCCTTTCACTACCTTTGGCTAGACCATTTCTCAATTTTCTAAAAATAGAAATTCAACTGTAAACATTTGAAATGGGAACCAGGCATGATGGTGCACGCCTGTGACCTCAGCACTCAGGAGGCTGAGGCAAGGGGATTGCCTGGCCTACATAGTGAGTTTGAGGCCAGCCTGAACTGCATAGCAAGACCTTGTCTCAAAAACAACAACAGCTCCCCCAAAAGCAAAACAAACAAACAAAAAGACATGGGGGTATAGTTCAGTGGTAGAGCACCGGTGATGCATATACAAAGTCCTGGGTTCAATCCTTGGCAAAAGAAAGAACGGGGCTGTGGGAAAATGGCTCAGTCCTGGGTTCAATCCTTGGCAAAAGAAAGAACGGGGCTGTGGGAAAATGGCTCAGTAGAATAAGTGCTTGCCTGGCAAGCTCAAGGGCCTGAGTTCAATCCCTGGTTCCACCAAAAAATTTTTTTAAAAAAGAAAGAGAAAGAGAAAGGTGGGGAGAAATACAGATGCCTGGATTACGGACACAAGGCCACATGTTATCATTGCATTTTATAAGTTTTGAAGGAAAAAACAAACCAAATCAACAAGACCACATCTTCGCACACAGCTCCAAACCAGCCAAGGGCAGCCAGAAGTGGCTGTGACAGGGCTGTGACATGCTGCCTGCCCTCAGGGAAGAGGTTTGAGTTCCCCCTCGGTGGGAGGATTCCAGCCACCCAGGCCCTCATCCTGCCTTGAGCGCTGCACCGGACTGACTTCCTTGCTGTCCGGTACCCGCCCCCGCAGCCCGACTGCCCTGACGGTCCTGCTGCAGCAGGGCTCGCTTCTCTCGCTTCTTCCCTGGCAGCCTGAGAGCCATCCTGCCCTCGATGGCTTGCCGCTGCGAGGGAGAACCCTGCCAAACCACTTCTTGCACAACAGTGAAGTTCCAAGGAGGCACACAGAACACTTGTTGACTGAATTGTGTCTTCTTCCTGACTTACGTGATGGTCCAGACAAGCTCCGGCGCCTGTGCTCCCGGGTGACCGTCCGCTGGGCACAGCCCCAGAACTTCGCCCCCTTCTCTTCATTCACCAACCTGTGAAATGGTGTTGACTTTCATATACTCAGGTAGAACCTTCCTTCTAAGAATTTCTCCAGCAAGCAAGCTCACTGTTTCTCTGGGTTTTTTAGTGGAGAATGCTGGGGAGGTAGGTAGGCTACTCCTGTGCTCAGTGGGCCCATCTCTCACCCGCCAAAGTCTCCTATCTTTCGAAGATGAATGTGTGCAGTCCTCTACTTCTGCACATTTGCATATGGCTGCTTGGTTCATTCACAAATTCTTTGCCAAGGGGCAGCACCGACCACCTCACATGTTACCTGGGCACATCACTGTCCCGCTGCTGGCCCTCGTGGGTCCCCATGACTTCCTGCATGCAGTCTGCACTGCAGCCCGGCCTTTCGGTTCCAGTGCTTTTCAACTTGGTCCCAGCTATGTCTTGGACCATCTCCCTCCCTTGCTATTAATCACCCTCTCACCCTGCAGCCCAACTTTTGCACAGTCTAAGGCTGTTTTCTGGTTCCTTATAGCTGCCAAAACTGCCTGGTCTCAGCACCAGCCTCTCCTATCACCAGCCTGTCCTTAATGGACATTGTCAGGCCGGCCTCCCGCGATGCACACGAAGGCAGTGCCAGTGCTGGTTCTAACATGGGCCCCACCCTGGTGCTCACAGTGCCCTGCGGTATGCACCTGGGTGAATGTCACACAGACCATGTTCCTGACTGGTCCAAGGAGGGGCTGGAGCCACGTGTACTGAGAGTACCCTCCAGGCCCGGGTACTGGCCCCAGAGTTTGCATGTTCTCAAGCCACGGTGGGGCAGAGGCTGTTGCATCAGGACACATCCCAGCATCTCACTGCCAAAGTGACAACTACAATTATGCTTTGGCTGACAGCTGGAGACAAGGGAGTGTGCAAACAGCCCTGGCCTTGCCGTGCCCATGAGTCAGCAGTTCGTGCGGGGTGCCCAACTGGTAGGCAAGGTGGGCACCTCCTGCAGACACCCTGGGTGGACAGCCAGCTGCCAGCAAGCCTCAAGCGAACACCTGAGACCTCAGGTGAAATCTCCACTGGCCAGGAGAGGCTACCCCAGGACTCAGGAAGGCTTGCACCCTGAGGGCAAGCGTGCAGCTGCCAGGCAGAGGCAGGCAGGTTAAGCAGAGTGCCCAGGATGAAGGCTAGTACGCTGGGCTGCTGGACACACCTGGTGTGCTGGTGACATGCACAGCGTCTCCACTGACACTCGTTGTTGGTCTCTTTATGTGCCGACGTTTCTGTCTTACACATGCCACACCTTTTACTCATTGCCCCAATCTAGTGATATCTTAGTTACTTTTGTCTCATTGCTGAGACAAAAATAAACAACACCCAAATTAAAGAGGTAAAGGTTTATTTAGCTCACAGTTTGTGGAGGTTTCGGCCCATAGCCAGCAGGCTCCAAACCAGGATGGTACCTGGCAGAGGGCAGCAGGTCTTGGTGGTAGGAAACAGCAAATGCAGCAGGAGCTAAAAAGGGAGGGGAGAGAAGAGGGAGCAAGCCAAATCCCAGCACTGGGATATGAGTCAATCACAAATTCTAGAAGCCTGACCTACGGTTGCATTGAGGCTTGGAGGGGCTTAGACATAAACCATAACAAGTGAAGTAACTTTTTTTTGAGGTAACTTCTATTATCCCCAATTGACTGGTAAGAAAACTAAGTCCCTCCTGGGCATGTTGGAGTACATCTAGAATCTCAGCCCATGAGAGGCTGAGGCAGGAGGATCTCTGTGAGATTGAGGGCAGCCTTGGCTACCCAGTGAGTTTAGGGCCAGCCCCTGAAATACATAGCAAGATCCTGTCTTGAAAAGAAAAGAAAGAAAAGGGAACTCAGAGTCTCAGAGAGCAGTCCACCCAGAGCCACAGGGCTGGTGGGCGTGTGCAGGGCCAGCACGCGTGGACCACCTGGCTGGTGAGCAGAGACAGTGTGTGGCTCCTTGTCCTTCCTGCAGCCTTGGTTGCAGAAAACAGAGAGCTCTAGTGCAGTCCCGCTTAGGGTGACTTGAGCGAGGCCTCCAAAGGACTTCGGCCTGGGAGCCAGGATCTTAACATGGAAAATAAACAGCAGCTATTCCAGGGGACAGGTGCTGGGCTGTAGCACTGAGAAACAAATACAGCTGAAGAGGGGCAAGAATTTCCTCTCTGCACATGTTTGCATGTTCAGCAAGAACAAGTGGCACCAGGAAGCTGCTCTGTGGCTGGGGTTGCCCGTGGAGACCTGGGTAGGAGCAGGAACTGAGCTTTCTCCCTGCAGCTCTCACAGGCTTGCCCTTAGCTTGGCCCAGGTTCTCGCCCAGCTTTGGGGGAGCCACGACTGAGAATGTCAGACGCTGCCAGGAGTGCTGCCGCCTTCACAGGCCCCTTGTGGGGCAGAACCTGCCTGTCCTCATATTTTGCCCAAACACAAGCGGACTGCAGCAAGGACAACGCAGTAGCCTAGGAACTTTGCTCAGTGCGCCTCCAGATGGGCGTGAGAGGCCGGTGGGGCTGGGGACACAGGAGCGCTTGCATTTCAAGTGGCAGCTGCCCATGAATCACCAATTTCATTTCATGCTCTCAGCTCTGCGAAGGCATCATTTCCACCCAGCCTCCCGCGGAGCTGGCGGCCAGAGCCTCTTAGTGAGGCTATAAATAGCCGAGCATCAACTCACCTCTTCTGAGCTCATCACAGGCTCCTCGGTGTACGGTGTGTCTTCCAGCTGCCTGCACGTCACTGTCACTCAGATTTCCCAGGTGGAACCTGGCTGAGAGACCCAGGGCATGCTCAGGGAGCGAGGGGAGGGGGCTGCAGGGTTTTGGTTCCCAGAGCTGTGCAGGGTGACAGTGAGGGCATGCAGGCTTTTGAAGAGCTTGACATTTATGTCGTCATAATTACAATCTCAGGTCTCTGTGCTCCTCTCCAATTAAATGCAGCAGCAAGGGACTGTCATTTCTCCACAAGTCCTAGAAATCAAAGGCAAAGGAGTCACCAAGCACAGAGAGAGCCATACGGAACAGGCAGCAACAAATAGGGTCTGCGCCTTCCTGCGGACCCATCTCCTAGCGCCGAGTGAAGCCCCGCTCCCTGGCTTCTGCTAGGCAATGGCATTTTTCAGAACTGCTCCTAGTGCTGCCCTCCAGGGGGTGTCGGGTATGGACCCAACACTGTCTTGGACCACAACTGTGGCCACACTGAGCCAGCTGCTCCTAGGCACAGGGGTCTGGCCAGAGGTGCACAGACCGGACTGGATGTCCACCCTTAGCAGCCAGACTGCAAAGCCCACCCTCTGGACCCCGGCCACTTGAGGTCTCTCAGCAGGGGGCCGTGCATCCAGGGCTGCCTACCACATGCCAGCGTGTGGGGGGCCTGAGAGACCTGAGCCTCGTGGGCCTCTCCTCAGCTCCAGGCAGCCGCGAGTCCTAGGGCCCTGGGGCACCAAACACCCATAAGCTCATCTACTCCCAAGATGAATTCTCCCCTGTGGTATCAGCACCAGTTTCCAAGCAGCTTGATGGCTTTCCTCCTACTTCCTTCCTCTAGGACCCCAGCCCCTGTGCCAGGACTGCCCTCCTCTCCTCAGCTCCCTCCTTGTCATTTACACTTGAGATGGGACAGAGCCAGATCAGATTCCTGCCTCCCTCCACAGGCTACCTAAGACAGCCTCCAAGGGTGGAGTCCAAGCCAGGAGTTCTTTCTCCTTTTTTTCTTTTTTTGGTACAGGAACTCGAACTCAGGGCCTTGAGCTTGCCAGGCAGGCACTGTGCCACTGAGCTATGTCCCCAGCTCGCAGGGTTGGAGCTCTAAAAGCGGTCCTGTCATCTGCCTGGCCAAGATGAAGAACTCTGGCCTGCTAGATCTCTGGTGTCATAGATCCATAGAAGGTCCCTCTTGGAGCCTTCTGACCCATGGCCGTCAAAACTAAAACTGACTCTTCTTCCCAAGACTCTGCTAAAAATGAAGCTCTAAAGGAGTAAAAAGAGGTAGAAGCGAGGAGGTATCTGAGCCAGAGGAGAGGTAGCAGCCGATGAAGGATGTCGACAGTTTAGGGAGGTGGAAGGCAAGAAAGAGTGATGACTCAGACCCAGAGTCGGGGAAGCTAAGGCAGGGGCCTGCTGACCGGGAACCTGCGAACTAGACGCTGCAGACTGGGAGGGCCAGCTAGCTGCCAGCTGCCGGTGGGCATGGGCTCCTGTGAGACCCCCTTGGATCTGCACCTCAGGCATTGTGCAAGGCGAGAAAAGGTGGGGAAATAAGTGGAAATCTGAAGCCAAGAGGTAATTCCCAGCCCACCCCTGGCCCCAGGAGGGAGACCTTAGAGCCCTTTACTATAGAAGTTGCTCAGGCTCAAGGAAAAAGCCTCTGCTACATACAGATGTTTGGAACCCCCATGCAAAGAGCCAATTTAGGACCAGCTGTCTGGCACAGGGAGTCTGCCCAAGCACACTGACCACACATCTTTTTTTTTTTTTTTGAGACGGGGTTTCTCTGTACAGTCCTTGAACTCAATATGTAGCCCAGGATGGCCTTGAATTTTCAATCTTCCTGCCTCAGCCTCCCAAGTGCTAGGATTACAGGATTGCACCACCATGCTTAGCAGAAATCCTTTTATAAAACCAAACAGCCAGGATCTCTAGACATTTACAAAATGTCTTAGATGTCAGAGACCTGGGTGTGCTTGTGTGGGGACACAGGTGGATGGAAGGGCAGGAAGATGCATAAGTTTAGGAAGAAAGCTTTAAAAATGCTATAAAAAGGGCCAGGGAGATGGCTCAATGGAATAAGTGCTTCCCTGGCAAGCTCAAGGGCATGAGTTCAAACCCTGGTTCCACCAAAAAATAAAACATAAATAAAAATAGATTTTTAAAAAATGCTATAAAATTCTCGCCAGAGACATTTACTTTTACTTTTTTAAAAAATTGTGTTTAGTCCAGGGTGTACAGGGCCTCACTATACAGGTGGGACTTGTAGTGATCCTTCCTGTTTTTTCAGCCTCCCAAATGCTGGGATTACAGGTGAGCCACCATGCCTAATCTCCATCACCCTCTCAGCATGCCCCAGGGGTGGGGCCAGCACAGCAGGCCATGGGCCAGGGATCTCCACCCTGTGTCTGCCTAAGCAGGCGCTTTACTCTGCTGAGCTATCTGGCTGGCCCAACATTTACATTTCAAGGACCATCATTATCATGAAATGGCACCATACCAGAAATAAAAAGAAAAACCTTAAAAGAATCCAGACACCTGTAATCTCAGCTACTGACTGAGGAAGGCTGAGGTGAAAGGATCCAAAGTTTAGGGATAGTCTGGGCGCCTTAGTGAGACCTTATCCCAAGTAAAATCAAAAGGACTGGAGAGATAGTTTAGTGACAGAGCACTTCCCTAGCATGTATGAGCCTTTGGGTTTAATCCCAGTAACACACACACACACACACACACACACACACACCAGGCATCAGAATGGACCAGGTTATCCAGCTGCAACCCTGGAAGTACAAGCATAATGGAATGAGAATTATCTATAATAAACCCAGGGCATTTCTTACAAGGAATGGGAGGCAGCCAGGGGCGGTGGTACCCACCTGTAATCCCAGAATTTGGAAGGCTAAGGCAGGAAAATCACAACTTCAAAGTCAGCTTGCACTACACGGTAAATCCCTGTCTCAAACACAAAACAAATAAAAAGTGAAGAAATGGCGGGGCTGGGAATATAGTTCAGAGGCATAAGCACCTGCCTAGTAAGTGTCAGGTCCTAAGTTCGAATCCCCAATACAAAAAAAAAAAAAAAAACAAAACACCTTAAGAATTGGAAAATAGATCTTTGCTGACAGTGGAGATCCCCTTGTTTGCCTCTTATATTCAATAATCAAAGAATGAGAAAACACATCCAGAGGCCTGGGGGTTCAGCTCAGGGCGAGGGCACATACTTCAGTGGTACCGTAAGAAGCCGGGGCTCAAGCCCCAGTATGGGAAATAAAAGAGGCATCCAGGAGAGAGCGAAGGAGTGCCCGTCTGGGCAGCAGGTCCCTGATCTGAAGAATAAAGGACTTCAGAAGAAGGGTGGGTTCCCGGGGTTGCCCAGCCCACTGCCTGGGGGGGGAGGGGAGAATGGTACTGGAAGTTGGGGGAGGGCCATGAGAATCTGTCATAATTGTATCAAATCTGAGTAAATATAAACCTGAAGCAAGTTATTGCCTACAAGAAGATGCCACACCTAAGCTGTAAAAACATAAATGCAATGCCAAAAATTTTGCATAGCCATAATGTAAACAGAATATGGATTTAACCAAAGGCTGTAATAAACAGAGCTAGGGAGACAACAGAAGGAAAAAGAGGAGGGAGGTGACTGGGGGAAAGAAGCCCATCTCCATTGCCTGGGGCCCGGCGGAGCGGAGCGCAGGGGCACCCGGTGACCCCTCCTACCACCCAATCCAAGCCTATTGAGCTACGAACGCTTCGGGAGACTGAGCCGCTAGTGCAGGTGGCTAGCGCACCCATGATCCAGTCAGCTTCCAAAAAGCCCACTTCTGAACACGAGACTTGGCGGGGAATGTGTTAGATCTGAAACATAACAACGGGTAGGTAGTACGAAAACCTGACGTTGATAGAAGAGCATCGTAAGCAGCATAAGGGGAGGAGTGGGCTAACCTGGGTGAAATCACTGGAAGAGCTGTTCTGGGTGCCTCGGGGGAAGAGACGGGGTTGGATGGGACAGGACCCTGCTGTACTGCAACATACCTTTTAGTACTACTCAACTTTTTAATTTTTGCAAGTATATACTGTTTTTATAAAAGCAAAAATTACTTTTAAAATAAAAATTAAGAGAAAATACTTAAGCCAGGCACTGTAGCAAACACCTATAATCCCAGGCCTCAGGATGCTGAGGCGTGAGGATTGCTGTGAGTTCAAGGCCAGCCTGTCTCAAAAAAAACCCAAAACCCAAAATAAAGCAAGACAAAAACAACAAATGTTTTCCATTTATTAATTACATGTCAGATTTCTTTCTGTCCTGTGGACCTTTGTCTAGCTATGTGTCTCTATTTGTTTTCTTTCTTGACTGGTAA